TTGTGCGCGTCTGCCTCGATGGTCCACCCCAGCTTAGGCAGTCCTTCTCGCACTTCATCCCCGTAGTTGGACCAACACATGAAGAAATCCTCTTGATAAGAGAGGAATGCCTATATGTGCCGCATCCCCTCGAGGGTTACGCTCAGTCGTAGCTTCGCCGCCAAGGATTAAATCTCGTTCCTCATTCCGCGGTTTTTTTTCGCGAATAGCTGGGCCACGGCGTTCAACGGGCAGTTGCCGCCACCCGCGGTGATGAAGGGCGTCCCGGCGCCTAACCCATCTACGGGCTGTACCCCGCGAAGAAGAGCTCCCGTGAAGTAGTCTTTGCTAAGTTCCTTGACTAATAGTTCCTTTTCCGTCTGCACCCAACGTATCGGAAAGGAATTCGCTTTTTTTACATTGAATCCGTTAGTTCCTGCAGGTTGGAACACACTGACTGGAAATCAGAGAAGAAACCTCCACAGCAGGACCAAGGTCCGATTCGTTCGGTGGATAAACTGTTCGATACAGAGACTGAATATGAGTTACTTTTGGTTCACACGACCGACTCAAACTGTGTGCCGGAATTTTAAAAAATTAAGGGGGATATCCATTATTGGGCGTGCCACGGCAGCGCCGTGACCTGCCATGGCACTGCCACGGCAGTGCCGTTGCACGCCCAATAATGGAAATGGAAAAAAAACACCGAAAATGAGTTCGAAATTATTTTCAACAGAAACGGAAATGTATGGACGAAAAAACTTCCGTGAAGTTGTGGAGAACAAAACACCTGGTGTAGCTAGGTGTTGTTCTCCAAAACCACAGGAAAAACGCAGGAAAACTGCTGCTGTAGAAAAGTGAGTAAACCTGGGAGCAAAATATCCTCAACGCCCCGGGGGTGGTAGCCGCCGTGGGTTGTTGCTCCGATTGTAATTTAAATTTATTAAAGTTGGGGAAGGCAGCAAAACATGTGACGTGCAATTAGCGACAAAACGCAAACGCAGGAGGGAGGTCGGAGCAAGCGAGAGAACACCAGGAGGGAGGCAGGAAGGTAAGGAATTGTACCCCCCTGCGCCACTCAAGGAGGGGATTTCGATACGGGCAACAGCAGCGATAGCGCGCGAAGAGTCAATCTCTGGCTTCCGCCCCCTCTGTTCTCAGGGAGTGTTGCTCCATGTTACACGGATGCTTGCAACTGCTGTGGATGCTCTAACCCGGTGTGCACGACAGGGCTCCAACGACGCCTGCTACCTCTAGCAACACAGCGCACGGTGTTGACTCGTGGCCTTTCTTTGGTGGAAGAAATGAGTGGCGTCGTAGATAAGGCTTAACCACGACACACACCCCCACTGTAAGGGCCGCCGTGGCCCTCGGATATCGGCGTTTCACTGCGCCAACCGGATGGATTTTACCCGCCACCGACTCCAACGACACTCGCTACCTCTAGCGACACAGCACACATAGTTTGGTGTCGATTCGTCGCCTTTGGTTGAAGAAATGAGTGGTGTCGTATGTAAGGCTTAACTACGACACCACTCTCGGAGCGGCCGGACTCCTGCGGGTGACGGTATCTCCGCAGCCACCGGGCCGATGCAGCCGAGCAGCTTCCGTGATAGCTGAAAGTCATGGCTTTCCGAAACACTCGGTTTTACCGTCATTGAAACTCTGTGCGCTGAGATGCGGGTAGTGTCGTATCTAATCTTATCTACGACACCATCCCCAGGGGTACCGTGGCCCTCGGATGTAGGCGTTCCACCTATAACCCACCGGATGAAATTCACCCGCCACCGACTCCAACGACGCCCGCTACCTCTAGCAACACAGCGCAAATGGTTTGGCGTCGAGTCGTGGCCTTTGGTCGGAGAAGTGAGTGGTATCGTAGTTAAGCGCTTCACTACGACACCACCCTCGGGGCGGCCGGACCCCAGTGGGTGATCGTATCCCCGCAACCACCGGGCTGATCTAGCCAAGTAACGGCTTGCACGATAGCTGAGGATGGTGTGAACCCATTCGAGTCAGTTTTACGTTGATTCACGCTCTGTGCACCGAGATGCGGTTGATGTCGTAGTTAACCTTATCGACGACACCACCCTGCGGCACCACCGTTAACCCGTGGGTAAGCATATCTCGGCTGACACAGGTCCGATTGAGGCCATTGACTCCTCTAACGATAGCTGCGGGTCGTGGCAAAGTAGCGTGAGTAGTTCTGGGCTGCTGTGCGCCCATTGGGTCGACGTAGACCACGTTTGGAGGTTTATACCGAGCTCACGATACTGCTGTGCCCCTTCCTGAGTCTGTAACTCCAGAACCACCGAGTCGAATGAGATGTCAAAGTACTTGCGCGATTGCTGCGGGTCGTGGCTACCTAACGAAGTCAGTTTTACGACGATTGATAGGCTTAGGCCCATTATGCGGGCATAGCTTTTAGCATAAATGGCCCTTTTGAGCATAAGAAAAAGCATAATAACTAAAAAGGAGCAATGCTCGAGCATATTTCAGCCCCGAAGGAGCATATATGCACGCGCGACGAGCANACACAGCAGCACACTATTGTGCTTTGTGGTGCTGGAGTCTACATGTGCAAAATATTTTTAATACAACACTAGACTAGTCTACCCGAGTGTACTTTTGTTTTAGTACTCGTCCATGCTATTTTAAATGTGCTGCTGCTGATTGCCGTTGTTTATTGTTTGTATATTTCAACAGTGGATCAACCAGTGTAGCACAGAAGGGACGTCTGACTTCACGGTGTTTTTTTTCCTTCGCTTTGTGTTTCGCGGCTCACGCTGTCATATAGGAGTATATTGCCGTGCCGCTGCTCTGTTTTTATACGTTTGTTCGCTGATGACGCTGTTGCCAAGTGCTAGATAGTACCAAAACGAAATGGCCAACACTAAACTCCGGGACTGACGTTGTTGAACACGACTTTGCTCGAACGCACGGTTATCTTTCGCCTTTACAGGCGTCTCTGGATAATTTCCGAGAGTACTCTGACTTGCTCGGAGGCAGCTACGGCAGCAAGCTTCCTCCCAAAGAACAGGCGACGCAGTTCATGGCAGTCGAGGCGTGCCTGTCTGCCGGGGTCCCTCTCAACGCCCTCGAGAATTCACTGATGAAGGATTTCCTACACCACTTGGGGGCGAGGCTGCCGGGAGCACGGCACCTTGCCAACTACATCCCTTTCATCGAGAAAAAGGAGGTGAGGCCGAGCCGTCTTGAATACGGGGTTGCCTTGGATCGTCGATATGACCGCAACGAGTTTGTGTCTGTGTTTATTTTGCAAGTTTGTAACTTACCCGCCTCTTGGAATCAACGCGTGAAAAATGTTGTCCCTTACCACTCGTGCAATCGTCGAACGGCCCGACTCCCAATGTGTCCCCTGCACGACAGAAGCAGCGGATTCTCGACGAGGTTGGGGACTCCCGGTATGCGATCACATTCGACGAGACGCCGTACCGCGCTGCGTGCTTCGGGATTGGTATCCGTTTCGTCAACAAGGAAGGACAGGTACTAGGTTGTGCCGTGATGTAGATGGTTCAATTCGCGTAGGGAGGTGATACGTGCTTTTCAGCTGGAGGGTAGGGTACCGTACGAATGGTTCGTGAAAAAGTCATGCACAAGGTCGCTTTGTTTCAAACCTCTCTTCTGATTCGTCTCTTTCTCCTTCCCCCGCCCTCCCTGCCTCTCTCTCTTTCGCTTTCTTTCTCGTTCTTCATGCCTTTTTGCCGGCAGATCACCCAGCGAGTGCTTAACTTGAGCATGCTGAGCAAGTCCATGGACTTCAAGGCCATCCACGGCGAAGTCATGAAGATCACGGTGGACGAGTACAAAATAGACCGCAGCAAGTGCGTCGGTTTCATGCTCGACGGATGCGGCGCCAACATGAAGGCCCTGGACACGCTGCTGCTGAACTTCCCGAACGCTGTCGGCGTTCGGTGCTTCTCCCACCTCCTCAACAACTGTGGCAACGAGCTGAGCTCGGAGGAGACCGACAAATTCGCTGGCCACTTGCACGTACTCCTGGCCCATAGCCACAACGCTAGAGACTTGTGGTTGCAGGAGACGAAGGTGTCGCCTCCGAAACCCGTTTCTCACCGCTGGAGCTCGCGTTACGTGCGGAACAACGCCTTGGTGCTGAACTGGCAGCAGATGAAGACCTTCGTCGACAAGTTCACCTCGACCGAAGAGTCCAGGTCCAAGTCGGCCGCTGCGATGAGGGAGGAGCTCGGGCGTGTTCGGCCGGATGGTGTCCACCAGGAGCTCATCTTGCAGCTGGGATTCGCGGTAACTGTGGACGTCGGGATCCACCTGGTCCGTGCCACCCATCTACTCGAGGGAGACGGATTCCTGGTAAGCACTTACCCCAGAGGCCCTTATATTTCGCACCTACCTTTCGTAGGTGTGGTCATTCGGTGTTCGTCATCTGCCGCTATATGTTATTGATGTGTTCCCTTCCCGTACCGTCACCCCTTGCCACCGATAGCTACCTGAGGCGTACGATGCCATCGTGAGTGTGCGCAAAGGTCTGGCCCTGACCTTGGACAGCAACGTCCCTCCGCGGTTTGAGGACAAGGTGAACATGCCTAACGTGAACGCGCTCGTGAGGGAGTACTCCAACAGCGTGAACGCCAACGTGAGTATTTCGGGAGTCCGTTTGTGGAAGTTGCTTGTGCGACCAGAAATTGTTGAGCTGTGTTCGATGACGCCCCCTCCATGATCACAACACACAACCATCACGTCACCTCCTCCTATTGACGCCCACTTCGTGTGTTTGTACTGTTCATGGGTTGCAGGAGTCGGTCAAGAAGTGGCTGAGGGAGAAGGCACTCTTCGACATGCATGCCGTCCGGCAGTACGTGTTTGACAGGATCGGGGACCACCCAGAAGCCAAGGAACGCAATGCTATTCGGGTCTTCAAGGCCGCGAGAATCCTGAACTTTAGGGTCGTGACGGGGCACGGAGTGGAGGAGTCGGACGTACACGTCCTAGCAGAAGTATTTCCGTTCGTGACAACGGCCATGGTCCATGAGCTCGTAGTAGAAAAGGATCTCTACAGCACCGCGGCGGCTGGCACGGACTCGGGGTGTGATTTGTGGGCTTTCTGGCATGACAACAGGCCTGAACTCCCTGCTTGGTACAATGTAGCCAAGGACGTAGCTTTGATCCAACCCTCTTCCGCTTTCATGGAACGGGTGTTTTCTCTGCTTCGTGCTTGCATGGACGAGCGGCAGGAGCAGTGCCTCAGCGACCGGATTACGGCATCAACCCTTCTCAAGTACAACAGGGCTTCCAGTGCTAGAAGCTAGAAGGCATTCTTTCATCGTTGCTAAAAGTGCTGCTGACTTTGCCTGCAGCTGCTTATGTAGCGCCGCTTCTTCCCTTCGGTGGCTCGACTGTTTTTGTCTCTCCCTGTTTAGTTTTTAGGTGAGCGCAGCTCGTGTATCTGCTTTTGTATTGGGGAGAAGCTTTCGAAAGAGGGCGTCAAAGTGTGCTGTTTGCCACTTAAATGTCAGGAGTCGAGAGTTTTCGACATTCGAAACGAAGAGCATGATGATGAGGATGATGAAGAGCATTCACAGGTCTAATAGTGTATTGCAAGCTAACGGCCGCTCTTGCCGTTTGCCCATTTTTTTGGAGGAAAAACAGTCAATTTCAGCCAATGTACCCAGCAAAAGACAACAACAGAACACCTCCGGCTTCGAAGAGAAGATTGGGCGAGGCATAACTACCTAAAACAAGCAGGATAGCGAGCATGAAGTATCGAATTGAGGCACATGACCACCAGAAAAAAAAGCATAGCTAGAGCATAGGTCAGGGCATATTTGCAAAAAAAACGCATAATCGTGGGCATATTTGACTTGTTTCAGGAGCATAAAATAAGAAAAAAAAAAGCATAATGGGCCTAAGCCTAACGATTGAAGCCCTGCGGGCTGAGATATGGCCTGATACCTGAGGGACCCTCCCCGTGATGCTGCGGAACCCCCATTTCCGACTATATCTCCGCAACCACGTAGCGGATTGAGCTGAACAAAAGCTTGAGTGATAGCTACGGGCGATGGTATTCTAACGAAACTACTTGGAGGTTTTCTAGAGCCCCGCTGGCTGAGATAAGATCGGATACGTGAGGGGACCCTGCCTATGATGCTGCGGAACCCCCGTATCAAGAATATCTCCGCATCGTAGCCGATTGGGTTGAAACATAGCTTGTGTGATAGCCTAGGACCGTGGCGTGGCAACGAACCTGATTTGACGCTCATTGGAAGCCCATGGGCTGAGAAATGGCAGCCTACTCCTAGGGATCCAGGCCGTGCTGCTGCGGAACCCCGTTTCTCGATGATATCTTCCCAACCGCGTGGCCCCTGGAGTTGAAACAAAGCTTGCGTGATAGCTTAGAGCCGTGGCGTTCCAACACACCTAGTCTGACGCCATCTGGAGCCCTCTGAGCTTAGATCCGGTTGGTGTCGTACTTAAGGATTTACGACACCGTTGTTGTATTTAGCATTACCGAAAAAAACGCTCGCTCTGTACCACTTTCTGCTTCGTGTCCTTTGCTTGCTGTGTTTGGACCCGCGTGAGACGCGTTGGGAACATTCCATGCTATAGACACTTAGTTGCTGCGAGTACAACGGGATCGCTACCACCCTCCCGAAATTTATGGGCACCCCTCGCAGCTTTCGGCACTCCTCCAAACAGACATTTGATCGAGACAGCGCCGAATGAGAATACCCTTAGTCCGTTTTGAGTGCAGGTCCCTGAAGTGGTGAATAACCGTTCACTAACGGAGGTAAGTTCGCTCTTGTTGCAATGTGGCAAGGAATGGCCAAGCGTGTTGACGTTGGTCGGCCTTGCTAGGGTGAAAGGTGAGAGTGAGCTTCAGGGGCTCGCTTCCGCCCTCCGGCTGGTCACAGCAGACGGAGGGTCTTTTCGTTGTGAAGATCTTGAGACCTCTAGGACGTAGTTCCTACGGTCACGGATCTATTCGGTTGTATGTGCGTCCCTACTACTTATTGTACTGAGAAGATGTATCCTGGTTTCCACACGGCCCCCCTTTTGTTCGCCGAAAATCCATCTTTATGAAAAGATGTTTTTTTGGCGCTCATTCTCGAGTGAATGAGGGAATTGAAGTGGAATTGGATTTAGGTTACTCCTGGTTGTATAACACAGCTCGCGAGTTTGATTGTTGAGAAAACACGCGTGACGTTACAACGAGGGGACCCGAACATACCCGAGACTCATACGCCACACGAATAGGGAAACAAACTTCCCGGCTATTTTTTACTTTTGAACAAGGATTTTACTGAACGAAGTAGTAAACATCGAACGACCTACAGGAGGATCTATTCCATAGTTCGCGTACCGATCAGCACAAATCCGTGTTGATTGGAGATAGCGACTCTTTGAAAATCAAACACGGTGAATTGGCCCATCGAGTGTGCTGGTGGAGGAGCCCACATAAACATACCGGTGCCTGCTGGAAACCAAGCCAGAATGGCTGTGTGTTTTGTTATGGCGCCCAGGCTATGATACTGCGACATGCAGAAAATATTGGGCGACTGCTCACGTTCGTCGCGGCGACTCCATGGTTTGTAAGGGGGCGGGAAGGAATATGGACCAACATAACACTAGGTGGGCTGGGTGAGTGAGGCAACGCACACACTATACCATCAAAGGAGCCAATGCACTGCTGAATGTTTGCAGATGTAAGAACCTACCATGGTGTTCGGCATGACACAGCCACCATCATGCCATGGGTCGGCAACCGTTAAAGTTCTCTACGATTGACCGATGCTTCGCGATGCAAAAAGCTCATTAGGGGAAAGAATCTAGTCTCATTCCGCGGGACCTACCCAAATCCCGAATCCTTGTTACTTCTACTCCGGCCCCTGATTCTTCGACCTGATACTTCCGCCACAAGTAGGGGACATCAGACAGGGCCCGCCGACAGATACGAATAACAATTCGATTCGAGGGATCACTTCACTCTGCTGGGGACTCTCGTTAAACATCTACGGCAACGCTTTCGAAACGCCTTCTGGGACAAAACGTCTGAGCGCAACACACAGCGTTCATCTGTTTCGCAAGCCTGTTCACGCCGGTCGCAAGCAAGAAACAATTCCTAGCCGCCGCCACGAACGAACAAGAAGCAAACCCTGACATTCGGAACAAAATACGAAGCCCTACGTCTTCCACAACTAACTACATTGATTCCGTTCCTCGCTGAGCGCAAGTACCGACGAAAGGACTTGGTCGTAAAAAGTCAGTCAATCAGCGGCAGGCCACCAGCATCCACGACAAAGCTTTCGCGTGGCATTTCGAGAGGTAGGACGTAAAACACCAGAGCACCCGCCAGGTAAAAAAACCGCATCACCACCGGTTCGATCCATGATTCCCACGGCATTGTTGCGGTTCTTTCCGCTTCGGCCGAGCCCACACGGAGAACCGTCTCGTCAAAGCGGCCGACGCCATCTTTCCCGTGCAACCCCGCCGCGTCAACTTTTGTAACACAACAGATGATCGTCGCTACGTCACTTCAACAACACGCGGGCTTACAACACAGCCGTTGGACCTCCGTGTAATTCACGCCGCGTTTCTGTCGTCAACGCAGTCTTGATACTGTAAAACTCGAAACGCAACGCAGCCTTCTTGACGTAAAACTCTGTGCAAGCACGAAACGCTTTCTCTATTGCGTTGTGTTCATGCATGCAAGGCGCCGAAAGTACAGGGCATGGCCGCCGGGCCGGTGACGAGGCGGGGCGTCTTTCACTCATCATCGTCATCGTCTCGTCAACTGCAATCCTTCATGCATCATCACCTCACCATCATAGTCAGCTTGACAATCCTTCATTCATGATGATAATCATCGTCAACCCTTCATACCATCATAGTCAGCTACAATCACTCACTCTACGTCCTTCTGTGGGTGGGCCTTGTCCGGCTGCCCCCTGTTGCTGAGGAGACGGTTTACCGCGTGCAGGTAGGCCTCGGCAGACGCATGGATCACGTCCGTGTCCGCCGCCTTCCCGATGTACTCTCGCTTCGACAGCTCGTCTTGAACACGCACGGTCACCTCTCCTAGAGCATCGATCCCGGCGGTCACGCTGGTCTCGCAAATGGTCATCACAGCAAACACACAGAACGGGCCAGCAGTTTGGGAATAAGAATTTCGTTAAGAAACAGAGGATCAAATCTTGACGAAAAATAAGGCAAAACGGAAACGAAAGACAGCTCAGCGGTGCATCCTACACTAACTAACTCTACAAAACAAGCTGTGCTCGATAGCAGTGGCTACGACGAGTAAGAAACTCAGCCTCGAACCGATGATGACGTTTCTTATCTCTACGTCCGTTCAGTAACAGCACCAGACGACCACGTGAGGACGAGGAAGAAAGACGTGACTGATTCCGGAAACAGGGACCACAACACGCCTCCATCGTTCAAAACTTTGGTCCAGACAAAGGTACCATATGCGAGACGAAAATCGGCAGGGACCACAAGTCGGCAAAAACACAGAGTCGCACGACTGAGCCAGGGCTGATGAGCGATAGGTGAGAGCGACAAGGAGTGGATCAATCCCACGATGTGGAAGTAGTGGGGATTGCGTATATCCCCGTGTAAACACGATCATGCTTGGTTAAGATCATCACAAAACGCCGACGCACGCAGAAAATAAATATGTGTGTGTAATGCTCCCTGGCGCCAGTCCGCACACCTTTATATTACGTGAATAAATTGACGTGCAGTTTGTCTGGGGTCACAGGAGGAAGGCACATTGGGATATCGAAGGTGCGGTGTCTTCCCACCTGTCGCTAAGGACCTAAGGTTGCTCGCCCGGCCCACAAAGGACTACGATGCATGCCTCGTTAGCAGCCACGAACTCGGCCCCACGCGCCCTTTTTTCTGTCTTTAATCCGTAGAGAAGCTTAGCCTCCCTCATGACGCCCCCTTCACGGGGGATGATGACCTACAGAAACATGTTTTGTTTTCAGCCGCACTCTCATCGTTCAGCCGGTTACCGCGCTGTCAGTGCCAACAAAAGAGACACACACAAGTTTGACCTCCATCAAGAATTTCCTGTCTTCAGCCGCACTGAGGCTGACGTATTCTCATTGGTCAGACAGATAGCGCGCGGTCGATGCTAACACTAAGAAACATACGTGCGACACACGCAACTCGAGACGTGCCAGCGCCAAGGAAGGCCACTCTTCCCACCTTGCCACCGAGTACTCCAACAGCTTCGTGCTCTTGGTCCCCACGATGTCGTCGATGGCCTTGTAGGCCGCGTCCACTGGACCGGTGCCGATGGCGGCAACACACCCCTCCTTCTCCAGGTCAGTGTCGTACAGAGTCAACGTTGCCGTCGGCTTGTTGGTGGTTCCGGCCGCCACCTGAAAAAAACGCCAAACGGGGGGGGGGGGGGGGGGGGGGGGGGGGGGGGNGGGGGGGGGGGGGGGGGGGGGGGGGGGGGGGGGGGGGGGGGGGGGGCGACGAGGGATGAGGGAACGTAATGCATGTACAACTGTATTCTTATGAGCGTATGCTGTCTTCCACTTCACGAGGCCGGCGCCGAAGGTGGAGGTGCTTGTATTTGTATAAGACCATCAAAACAACCTATGCCTGTTGTTGTTGCCGTTGTCGTTTCCATCGTCGTCGTCATTGCTCCTATCGCATTCATTCGCCTGGTTGTCGCTGCCGTTTTCCGGAGGGGGGGCGGGGGGGCGCAGAGTGGAGATCCTACCCGGGACAGACAGCAGCCACATCGTTATCAACCCGACCAGCTAACAACCAGCGGCAGGCAGGGAGAGCATTTCCCCTACAGCGGCAGCTGCGGTCTAAGTCTGAAGCACCGATTTAAGAGAGTCAAGCTGGCTTGTCACGACTATGAGAAATGCATATATTGCAGAAAGAAAACCGGATAAAAGAGAGAAATACTGGCTTGTCACGACCCTCTTGAACCGTAGCCGCCTTCGTACAGCACAAGATAGGTCTTCCTCACCTGCATCCCGACCAGCTCGTAGCGCCTGATGTTCACGTCTCGGATCTCGTCGTTCACGATGGAGGCGAGGTCAAGGGAGGTGATTTCCTTCTTCTTGTCGGCAAGGTCCTTGAACCGCAGGAACGCGCGGTTCAGCTCGTCGTCCGTCAGCGAGTAGCCCGACTCCTGAAGGCAGGGGGCAGACCGAGTGGACAGGCAGGACCCGACAAAGGAGCACCAAGGAGAGGAGGAGGGCCAAGAGAAATTTCGGTCAGATTTTCCCACAATCGAGGGTGCACGCAGAAATATTTTTTCCAAGCCTAGGTACGGAGGGCCTGGAGGGGGGTGGGCTCTCTACAATGAAGTGAAAACTGAACATCCAAATAAACATAATTTTCCTAACAATCAACTTCTTAACCTTGCTCGAAAGCACTACGGTTTGACTTTCATTTTTGACTTCTGTTAAGTACGTGTCCTTTTCGCTTTTCTTCGCGCATCATCCGTGGCCATGCCAGCAAAAACAGAATCTTCTCATACTGTTGTAAGCTGTCGTTCGTCCAATTGGTTTGCGAGCGGTTCTAAGCACCACGAGCGCACGAAAGGTTTGGTCTGTCAAAGATGCAAACCATGCATTGTTGAGCTGACGTGCAAAACGACAGTTGAGGGGAAAAGACGCATCCGCATGGACAAGGGTGCGTGAAATGTTTGCATGGACTTGGGGGACGAGTGCGTTGGCTGGTTGGCGGGCTGTTGGCATGGAGGAGTGTCGTCGGCAGGGAGACCTGTTCCTTCGTGCACATGGAATGGCAGAAAATAGTTTGGTGAGGGGCCCGGTATGATAGGTCTCCTTACAGACGGCCATCCTCCGTTAGAACAGCCCGCCGACCAGCCAACGCACCCGTCGACAACTCCACGACAAGCATTGCTCGTACCCTCCTGCGTCTTTCTGTTGTTACCGTTACAGTATGCAAGTCAGCTCAGTAGGGGACGTTTTGCACCTTTTACAACAAAGCTGTTCTCGACACTCAACCGCTCGACCAACAATCAAACAACTACGACCTAAAAAAAACGAGGCCAGCCAAAGAAATTTCCTAGAACAAGGTGTTCGGTCCGGCCGACACCTGTCCCGACAATGGTCCCGACAATGGTCCCGGCAACACACCTGAAGGCGGGAGCGGAAGGCGTGCCTGCCAGAGTGCTTCCCGAGCACGAGAGACGTGTCCTGGTAGAGGCCGACCAGCTCAGCGTCCATGATCTCGTAGGTTTCCTTGTTTTTCAAGACACCATCCTGCGTGGCGTTGCAGTCAGCAAGAGGGATGCATACGGCGAGCAGAAAGCAGAAGTACTTCAGGGTCTAACGTTAAGCCTACAACCCGTAAGAATGGACAGAGGGGGGGAAGGGGGGGCATGGCAAAGCGTTGAAAACAGCAGCGTTCTACTTACAAAGTCTACAACCCGTAAGCATGGAGGGGGGGGATGGCATGGGCAGGTGTCAAAAATAGCAGCGGTGCGCCAAGCGAGTCGCGTTTGATGGGGCCAATCGACTTGGGGTCACGATAGCACCCTTGAGACCAACTAATTGTTGAAGCGAAGACCGTGAGAAAGAGACAGACAGACAGACAGACAGACAGACACACAGACACACAGACACACAGACAGGGAGCAAGCAGTCACAACCCTTCTCCTGGGATATGCTGCGACACGAGACACAGGCCATCATCACCATCATCGCGGGCGAGCGACAGCTTCTATAATAGGCTACGATACCGATAACCCTGGTATCCACCTGGTGAATCCCAGACTCGTGCGAGAAGGCGTTTGCTCCAACGATAGCCTTGTTCGCCTGCACCATCATGCCTGTCATGGAGGACACGAGCTTGGAAGACTTGACGATCTCCTTGGTGTTGATGTTGGTCAATGCCGTCTCCGACAGCACCGGGCGGTCGAAGGAAGGGTTGTAATAGGCCTGACCACCATCAGAAGCAGCGGGGGGGGGACACGGGACAGCGGTGGAACACAAGGGCAGAGTGTGGCGGGGCCGTGACGTTTGATAGTGTATGATTTGGCACAACGATGCAAAGACAGGTGAATGGGTGCGGGAATCATGCACGGCGACTGCTCGTTAGAGAACGTTTGTGCCTGAGTGGGGAAAGCGGAGAGACGTGATGCGGCGCCAATACATAAAAACAGAGGCTCTGCTGCGGCACGACTAATATGTAGGGGAAACGATCCTGGTCTTGGGCGTTCCGTTTCGTCAATCATGGCACAACATCAGGCGGCGAAACCAAAGGATGGACTCAAAAGCCTGGCTCCATGCTTTGCTGCACCATCAGACGGAGATTGAAGGGGGGATCCGCGCAATGTCTGTTGGGATTGGGGGTTAACACCCAGACCCCGATCCCGACCTCCGGAACACGAAACCCCTTCAGCGACTACCGCGTTAGGAGACGAGAGGGCAAATCCGAAACCGAAGAAACCTGCACTCGGGTCAACCAAACCTTGCGAACGTGCAGGGCCATGACGATCTCTTCCAACGCGGCGTTGCCTGCTCGCTCTCCGATCCCGTTGATCGTGCACTCCACCTGGGCAGAGGGACAGTACAAACGGATGATGCAAACGAGAAAAAAAGGGACAAAAACTTGGATGAGTGGAGAGAAAAACAAAAAGGTATCACGTGCGAAGCTGCGGACCAACACCGTCGACGACGGGGGGAGTTCCATACAGAACGCAAACTGAACAAAACAAATACGCCATACGGCCGCCATTGCTACAAGTACCAGCCGAGCGAGTTAGCCGTTTCGAACGGCCTACGTTGAAGCTTCTTCCTTCCTTTCCTTCCTGCCAAGCACGGCAGACAAGCCCCCGCTTCCGTTAAGAGTAGCCAACAAGCGCGGGTACGGTCACCCACGGACGGGCGTACCCACAAAGCAGAAAAACAACCCAAGTCGCAGAAAAACAAAAAAAAATGTGAAAGAAAAGAAATGTAAAATACTGTAGACACCTGGCGGGCTCCTCCTTCAATGGCGGACATGAAGTTGGCCACGGCCATGCCCAGGTCGTCGTGCCCGTGAACGGAGATGGTCACCTTGTCTACGCCCCTGGGAAGGAAAAGCGATTTCGGCCAACGGGTGAAACAAGCGAGCACTGGAACCGTCGGATCGGATCAACCTCGCTGTCACGGCGCCTGCAGAACTCGACTACAACCACCTCACAGACACCCGCCCGGCAAGACAAAAAGAAAACAACGGCTCCCGCCCCGAACCGAGAGCCGAAGAATCCAGACTTCTCACGACAAGATACCCCTGCAAGGAAAAACGGCCCCACCAATTCAATTCGTGGGCCTGTCCTTCGACGTCTCAAAACACGTCACGGCAACCATTTTTTTTTTTTTTGCAGTATTTGTGCACGGTTGTATCGTGCAGCCCTTAGAAGCCAAGCGATGATGTACAAGTGCAATATACAACATGGGATATAGCCAAAACGAGCCAGTCCTTTCTCCTTCGGTCTACAGCGGCTACTGCGTTGTATCCACCCTTTTCGCCGCCATATCACCCGCTACCTGACAGTCCCGCGTAGGTGATGCATCAGCCCCATGAATTCCTTGGGGGTGGTGTATCCAACCGTGTCGGGGACGTTGATGGTTGTCGCCCCGGCCTCAATCGCGACAGAGTAAACCTTGAACACGAAAAAAGGGGGGGGCGGGGACGGGGATCAACTAAATAAATGAAACTATCCCAGTTGTTGGTTTTGCACGACCACATGATAACCGATTCTTTACACGCGACGAATGGTTAAGGCCAAAACAATACAAAAAGATAAAAAAAATCCTCTCGAGATGAAAGGTCGGCGCGAGCAGTTCGTTTGGACGTAATCCCAGCTGTTCGCGAACGCGCACAGGCAGCACAAGCAGCCGAAGCGCATGCCTAGAGACAACCACGATCATAATCGCTGGCGCGAACAAGTGCTCCATTCTCGTCCTCAGCACGGGACGGATCATTCGATGCAAATTGCTGCAGCGGAACTGGTGGTCCCACCCAAAACCTTCTCGTCTATGGTATGCATTGTCGAATTTTCGACCAATCGGTTGGGGGCAAGTACGCAGAATGTACATATGGAAATCTAACCCAAAAACTTTGACCAGGCAAGAAAAGTGTCCAAGCAACCCCAAAAACATGTATTGGTTGAAGAAAGCGTCGAGGCAACTCCCAAGACTCGGTGTCAGTTGAGTTCAAGCGTCCAAGCGACCGCAACAATCGGCATCAGAAAGTGTGCAAGCAACTCGACAACTCCGCATCAGATGATTGATAAAGTTACCGAGCACGTGCAACAATGATCAGCCAAACGCCAAAGGAAAGCCGCACCTCAGAAAGGAAGTCGTAGTCGGAGCGAAGCGCGTCTTCGGCGCTGAACTCGACGTCATCCACGTGCGAGCGGGCGTGCGTCACCATCTCCCGCGTGATCTCCAGGACCTGCCGTGAAAAAGCGATATCGGTTCAGCACCAGGGGCGCTGTACATACCTCCGTCCACGCGGCAATCGTTTTGCGGCAGAGGTTGAGAGTGTCTCGCAACAGCCCGCATAACGAAAGAGCCGTGAGCACCCCCTTTCTACCCGATGGTAGATTGTATCAAAAAAAAGCTAACATTACGCCTAGGCGACAAAATGTTTCATGAAGCAGCAACCCATTTGCCGTACGTGCTGCACAGGGGCGGAGTCGAAACCGGGAACTGGGTCAGCATAGCAACCAACTACCGTGTATGACACAAGATAACACACACCCTTGACCAATTTTCGAAGTTCGATTTCTCAACTGCAGGAACAGTCACAGCGCCGAAAACGGCGGCGTTGAAACTGTCTCGTCGAGAGCTTTTCGACAATGTATCGTTTCGTTTATGCATCCTCTTCGCCGTGGAGTAAATCGAGCTTTGAAAATCGGTCCAGGGGGTGTGTTATCTTGTGTCATAAACGGTATGAGGAGCCAGTGAGAAGGGGAATGTCGACAATGTCTCTCTGAATGCCTCCGTAAGCGTATCGAGCAAGCATGAGGAGCCAAGGTCACGGGAAAAGTATATGTGGACAGTGTCTCTCTGTCAGCGTCGTCACCCTCTCCGTCGTATTGATACCGTGGAAAACCCAGCGTACAACAGGCACGTACCGAACCAACAACCAACCACGCAGCTACACCTAACCCCCGGCTCTGACCAATCTGGACTGCCACTCATGGCATAAGACTGAATGCAGATGCTAAACATGTTCTTTTGGGTTGGTTTCAAATCGCTGGGCTGTTCAAGCCGAAAATATTTGAGTATTGTGAGCTGTTGACACACCGCAGCTGGCAGCCAGCTGTGAGTTGGTCCTGCCTGCTACATTTTCATCTTGCATCACCCCTTGATGACATTGCGTTGTCACGAGCCCACTCTATAGGGATTCCTTGTATGGAGTCATCGACATTTTCACCTGCTCCCTGGACTTCTTGAGCTTGTGCTTCATGTGGATGTCCGATGTAGCGATGAAGGTGTGGATGCGGGGGAACCGAGCTGGCGCCACCGCGTTCGCGCACACCTGGTGTCCCAAGCAGAAAGGTGGCAACTAAAGTCATTATTTTGAGGTGCCCATCAACACCTTCTCACGCGGACTGATCGTGGCGTCTGACAGGACAAGCCAGAAAGGCTCGACCACCCAAAAGCTATCCGCCCGGACACTTCACAGAAAGAGTCAAAACTCGGGAATTCGCAAGGAAGCAGGACACCCGTCAAGGAGCTTTCGCGAGACAAAAAAAAATATGGTACGAACTTCCGAGAAAAGGAGAAGGCAACAAGAAAAAACGATCTCCCCCAAAGCCTTTCGATGTCCGGCATCTAACTGCTTGCTGCAAGCAATCGCCAAGTCCGTACACAAGTGCGCACTTCAGATTGAGTTTAAGTCAACCTCAAGGGACACACAACAAGGAACTACCAGTACACCACAGCTGCGGAAAGATGAGCCTCGCGACACAACCGCAATACTGCAGGCGAACGCACAGGTATATGCGGTCGATGTATACTTGTAAAGCTCGACTGCTCTACCATCAACAAGAGGCTCTCAATGCCGAAAACGGCGGAAACTTAAGGGTCTTGTCGTGGGTCGAGCTTGGCAAAAATCCTCACCGTCATAAGTGTGGAGCAATCCACCCCTTTAACCGATCGATCTCGCAACGCCAGTGGGTTCTGCCGGCTTTTCGACGGAAAACGAGCACCTCACAGGGACAGCCAAGCTCAAAAATTAACATGCGGCCACAAGCGACATAGCGCACTAGACGAGGACGGACAAACACCGACGGGCTTTGCTATGCATAGACCGCTTCGCCTAGAACCAACCATACCAAGCACTCACGTCGATGTCTTTCCTTAGGGCCCTCGCCAGGCCGCAAATAATTGGAGGGTTGTCGCCCTGGCCGACCACTGTAGCGATCTCCTGCACCGCCTGTCTCGACGACAATATACGCGACACGTTTACGGGTTTCCGCCATTGCGGCGCCGTTCACAAGAGGTGGGGTCGGTAAGCGGCAGAACGGGTAGGCGGCGGATGTTGGCGAGAACTCTTACAAGGTGGTCCATACACGTAAACGACGCTGGAACGCTGGTTGCCCTGCCGTTATGCCAGGCTTGCGCGTGCGTGCGTCGGGCAAATACCGAACGCTAATCCTTCGGCACATGCACTAGCCCCGCGGAGGGCTGACTCCTCGACTCCACACGCGTGTCGGTCCATATCGAATGATGGCGAGGCCACTGACGCCCTGGAAACGTCAAACAGCTACCACGCCGAGCACCATCCCTGCCCCCTTGACACATGAGCAGCGAGCGCCGTACACCCGCTGCGGCGCCGTAGATTGTAGATTGAGAGTTCCGCCTCACACCGTGCACTTTTCCGCACCTCGAAGTCGCCTTGCGATGCGATAGGAAACCCTGCCTCGATGATATCCACTCCAAGCTTGCTCAGCTGCTTTGCCACCTGCGCGTATTCCACACAAAGCCAAGCAATAACACCGGGAAATTACAGACGCAAGCGGTCACCCCCTTCTCTCAACAAAACGGAACCTCTTGGCATCGTGCAGTAAGGTTGCCGTGACATGCTCTCAAGCGCACGCGCAGCACCGCCCTCGGTACACGCAATGGTACTCGTTGTCCAATGCCCCCCCCCCCGCCTCCCATACACACGTTCTTCCCCTGATGCCGCCCTCTGTTTCGTGCCTTCTCTTACCATGAGCTTCTCTTCCCTTGTCATGGTGCAGCCTGGACTCTGCTCCCCATCCCTCAGGGTGGTGTCGAAGACTTTCACTCGGGTGGGATCGCGCCCGGTTTCTGCGGGAAAACAATCGACCGCATGCGGGCCATCAGGTCAAGGTAAACCACGACTTACACACCATACTGCAACGCCCCGTTAAACTCTATTTCTCATCTGTGCTGGAGTTTGTTGAAGTACTACCGCTGTCACGATGAACCGCGCACAAAGGCCGCTGCCGCAAACGTGGCTATTCTTTGATGCTCCTACTGCTGCTTCTTCGCCTCCTTCTACTCATCCAAGGAAACCAAAGAGCATCGCTTGCGGAGGCCCGAAGCCGAGAGAAACAGACGCACAAAATCAACCCCACGAAAGAGCATCCTGCCGTGAAGCAAGCATGCACACACAAACAGAGAACGCCTCTCGTGCGCGGTGCCGGACCATCTGAGTGTGAGAGCTGCCAACAGCTCGAAACGCAGCAGTAGTTGTTATCATCATCGCCGGTACCGGACAACTACAACGCTTCCATGCCCCTTCCCTCGAACCGCCCACCGAATCCCCTCTACCCACCGATGTCATGTCGACTAGGCTGGACGTTTACTCGCGCCGGCGGCGGGGGGCCCTCTCCCTTTCCGGACTGCTGTTGCTGCTGCTGCTGCTTGATCTCGGCCGTGGCTGTTCCCGGGTCGGTCGCCACCATGCGCACGGCGGCGCTGGCGACACGCTGCCGCCGACCAGCGTAGTTAGTCACCCAAGGGTTAGACCACGCTTGCTGCCGCCCCGCCTCTAGTGTGGGTTGTGCGGAAACAAAAGCTGCGGCCGCCGCCTGTTCGTATCGGTTCCAAGCGGAGAGGGGGAGAGGGGCTCTGAATGATCGTGCACGAAATATCGCTGCGAGAATGATCTCCAGGGAGGGAGGAGGGGGGTGGTACCGACAATCGTGCATGGTTGAAATCTCCAAACTGTTCATTCTCGCATCCCCACAAAGCAGTGACTGCGCCAAATACAGCAGTTTGCACAGCAGTTGGGCAGGCGAAACAATCACTTGCGCCTTTTGTACTTTTGTTTACATGCAAGACAGGCGGCTTTGAATCAAAGGGATCTCAACAGACCGTGGGAGGATCTCAATAGACCGTGGCAGGGACTGGACGCGTGAACGACCGCTCTAACCGAGTGCCGGTGAGACAAACCCATTCGCACGGAAGTGGTGCAAAACTCCAGAGAGGCGGCGAGAAGAGGGCGGGGAGTGGAAAGGCAACGAGTGTCGCAGCATGGCGATTAACAAGTGTGGCTTGTTGTAAGCATGTTTCTGCAGAACAAGCAAAAAGGAGAACCGGGATGACTCGATTCGGTCGGAATCCCGCAAAAACAAGAATGTGCCGAACGGGTAGACTTCCTGTAATCGAACGCACTACTTGCCGCCCATCTTGGATCTTAGAGCTGTGCGGGCGGAGGCGCCACGTTTCAAACTTCGTGTTTCTTTGAAACGCGTAAACTGGTGTAGGTGTCTCAAGGAAATCTTTTGCATAGTTCTGAAAACTACATACATCCACAGCCTCTCAAGGTAAACACACGCACAATCACAAAAAAGAGAAACACCAGCAAGCACACGGCTGTTCCGCGAGACCGGGGGAGCGGTTTGTGGCAAATCAATCCGGCCAGGGACTTGGAGACTTGCAGGGGCAGGACTTTCTCTGCGGGCGAAGGGCGCACAAGATACAGAAATATGTTACCTGTGCATAGCCGCAAGAGCATGCGTTCCTGCTAACAACGCGGCCAGTGCTCGAATACCTTCGTGGCTACGTGATTGTGGTCATTGCACTTGCCGAGTGGAAGGTCAAACGTGCAGGACCGTCGAGCTCGAGCTTCCCGCTCGCGGTTGGCCCAACCAACATGCACACTCCGCTACCAAAAGGAGAATTTGGTATTTGGTGGAATCTCGCACCACAAGGAACGGTGCGCAGAGTACCGGTGTAGGCAGCGCTGTAAGCAAACCGAGCTCCGATCTGTACCTTCGACACCTTCCTCTAGCCCGTCAAGCCGGATTGTTTTGGGGCTGTTAGCGCCCTTCACACGGCTCAAATACGCGAAGGTAGGTATCATAGATACCGCCAACCAACGTGTGGTGGAGCCTCCAAGGGATGTGTGTGTGTGAGGTGTATACAACAAGCGGCGTAAAGAGAGGGCATGTTTACTAGGCGACGTAGGGCATGCACAGAACGCTCACCTTCCCGTTGCGTACAGGCATCGCAGCAGCGGCGGCGGCGGTGGAAGTGGCAGCAACGACGCAGCTGCAGCAAGCGGCCCTTCCCATGAATCCTCTCATCGTTGGCACACGAAATGTACGGGCAGCGGGGCAGCAGCAGACCCGCGACTTGAAACTTGACTTGAAACACACCGCTTGGTTCGGATTTGCCCTGGAGCTGTGCGGAATGCAGCAGGGGACTGACTGCTTGGTTTGCGTCAACAAGAGCTCAACAATAGATATCGGCCGAAAGCGTACGTCGGACTTTGACCCCCCCCAACCCGTCTCTCCTTGCTTGTGTGTACGGGTACCCTCAGCTGCACTCGTCGCTCACGCGAGTGGCTAAGCAAGGCAACCCACCACCTCCTGGTCGGCCTAGCGTGCATACGCCATTTATCAATCTGCGTATCCCCCTGGGTCGCTTGTGTGTTTTTGCGTGTGCGACGTGACGGACAACCCGCGTGACCTAGGGAAGGAAGGAGGCAGAGGCTGTGCTTTCCCGGGCATCTCAGATCCGGTTGTCATCCAGGCACGCTCCTTCAGGTTCCCAATCAGGACAGAGAAGTGGGGAGGCGAAGGAACTCGAGCGCATCGGAGAAGCAGAGAGAGAGAGAGAGAGAGAGAGAGAGAGAAAGGGAGATGGAGAGCGAGGAGAGAAGGGCCTCTGTTAGCGACCGGCCCGGCGTCAAGCAGAGGTATGAACATTTGGGTACGAAGAAGTTGGCGGGTAGCTTTGACCCCACTCACACCAGTAGAGCTCGCGTAAGTCAGCCTGGATATGTCGAAGAGGTGGGTGTTGGCGCAGCAGTACCAGGGCGTCCGCTTACGGCTTTGGGGTCAGGGAAATTGCCAGCAGAGCGGTTACCTTTTCGCCACTTCTGCGCAACAATCCTCGCCTCCTCAACACAAAACACATACCAGCTCACCTTTCTTCTCCAAGCCGTCATAAATAAGGCAGATTCATTCCAGTAGGGACCATCGAGCCGTCATCTCTGTGGCTGTGGCTGAGCCCTATTCGTGTGTCTTGAGGAAGGGGGCATCCTTCCCCACGTTCCCTCACACACGACAATTTTCAAATTTGGCAATATACTGGTTCCAGAGCACAGCACTCCAATTGCGTAATTTGCGCGTGTGTACAGCACCGTCTACTGCTGCTGAAGGGGAAGTGTACACGTGTTTTGCGTGTCTCAACAGCCGTTGTTGAATGGCAACAAAATGTCGAAGCCAATGCTTGCCGGCCATCCCTCGCGGAATTCAGGCTGGACATGTGGAAGGGCGCTGCTTCGAAGTTGCTGATGGTTCCGTGCCAACAGCGCGTTGATCTACGCGGTGCTGCTGGACGTGCGACGTTGTCGGGATTTTTTTAAGATTCAGTTGGCTCTGACAGCAGCAGCATCGGCAGCAGCAGTAAACCAAGTCTTCAACTCACGTACTCGTTCAGTTTGTATCTTGTAAGAAGACGGCCACCCTCATCCACGATCTTCGATTGTTACCGACCCTCTCGCGCGCTAAGGCTTGCTGTAGAGGCTCTATTGTTAGCTCATCCCTCCGTTCCTCCTACGATATGCTTTTAATCCGCATGCCAGTCGCACCTTCACGGGGGCGGGGGGTGCACAAGGGTGGTGGTAAGTTGCTGTTGTACGATTTATCCGCCAAGACGAACAACAGCAGCTGTCTGTCTCTTGCGTGGAACGCGTGCGTCGAGTTCGCCGCGAGCATTCCCACAAGCTTGGTCACACGTAGTACAGACGCTGCTGTCATTTGCTGCTATTTCGCCGAGTGCATTTATTCAGCAAATGACAAACAAAAAGCCCATATTTCCGGCGGCAGGACTTACAGAGTCGCCCATGCCACAGAAGGGCAACGTGGGCTGCAGCCTTCAACTCCCAGCGAAGTGGAGCAGAGCAAGTTGACGTAATCGACGTGTCCTCGTCTGGAGAATCACTCCGCATTTGTGAGGCTCTCTCTCTCTCTCTGTATTGTCACGTACACGGAGATGATTATCATGAACGAGTGTCGAGGATGGAAGTTCCATCCAGAAAGAATTACGCCAGCAGCAGAATCGGAAGGGTTTTCGTTTTGCTAGCACGAAGTACAGCAGTATGCATTGGAGTTGAAGTTGGCTGCTGGCCGTCTCCTCATCGGACACCGGACCGGCGGGTGCAGTATCTAGATGTCGCAGTTCCCAAGACGCACACACAGCAGCAGAGCCCACCACACACACACACCACCCTTTCTTGATTGGTTACAGAACAGCCAGGTGAGGGGCATGACTGATTATCATTGGCAAATCACGTAGGTATGTACGTAGCACACGCACCTTGTCGGAGAGGTTTGAGGAAGGCAGCCCTGCTCAGCAACCAATGGGGTGTGCCTTATGCGGATCAAATGGGATGCATGCAGGTGTCGTGGGTGCACGGCTGCGCCCTGCCCTCCCCCCGCGCAAAGGCCTTCCAGCAGACACGAGAGATGGTCGACCCAGTCAATTGTGCCGCCCAGAATTGGGTTGTTTACTGGAGCCAGAGAGGATGTTTCCTAGATTTTTCTTGCGGCGAGTCATTCGCGGGAGAAATGCCTTCGGATTCGGCGGAAGAACATTCATCTTCGTCCAATCTCACTCCCTTTCGTTCGTGTACACGGCGGTGTTCATCCACGGCGTGAGCACACCGTACACTATCTTAAAGGCAAACTACAATGACACCAGTAGTGTTACCAAGATCCACTTCCGCAGATGTAGGTGGTCGAACGGCAGTGAGGGTGTGTGTGTTGCGCCGCACTCGTAACATTCACTTGGTTTGCGATTCCGCCAACGCTGTACATCCCACGGTTACGAGAAGCGGAAGGTTGTAGACGGGGGAGTAGATTTGACGGTCACTCATCGTTTGGGTGGAGAAACAATCACGGGTGCTGTCGTGTGTGCATCGTTTGGAGATACTGCTGTATGTAAATTCCTTTTTCTGGCAGGGTAATATTGCAATTGGGGGTACGTCGAGCGGGAGCAGGCGCGCGCGCTCACCACATTCGCTGCAGCGCCCCACGGCAGTATTCCGAATCAACCATCACCAACAAGAAGTAGACCACACCGGGGATGACCTGCAACATTCGCTGGTGGTATGCACATTGATGTGGTTCCACGTTAGTGTCAGTAGCGTGTGTGCGCAACATGTGCAACCCGCCTTCGACAGGCGCCCTGCTGAATTCCAATAGATGGACTCAATCAAACTGTTGTGTGCCGGGCTGCTGGGTGTATTTTTGGCGAGACAAGGTCCCACCGAGCGCTGGTGTACCCAAAAGCCAAGGCCTTTGGCTTGCCAAAATACACATTGGATGTTTTATTTTCGGGATGGATGGATGGAGACCTCACGCCGATATCTATGCTATCTATGCTATCTACGCTATGTCCATCACCCGCGGTGGCGGTCGGTGTTTGTGTTTTCTACCTTATACGCTCTCACTCCTGGAAGGAGCCCCGCACGAAGTGTGATTATTTTCTCTTCTGCTCTGCGTGCCCCCCTTCAGACAGAGTGTGTGCTGATGTGTTTGGGGAGGGATACCTTTTGGATCACGGGTGTATTCTACGTGGAGTCGTCGAGCTCATCCCGGCTTGCGGCAGTGATCCCTTCTTCCACCATCACATCACATCACATCGGTTGATGGCAGCCTTGAAAGGCTGCCGAGGTCTATAACCTTGACTCCCTCTACGGTAGTGTCTCCATCGATATTGTTGCTGTCTGTCCCTAAGCAGTGTTGTGGAAACCCATGTGGGATTTCTCAATTTGTTTGACTTCGTAACCCGGACAAAGAAAAAACGTGCGGCGTAGCCAAACAATCCCCTCTATGTGACGGATGGATTGACTCCTACTTTGTTTCTTCTTTTGTGCCGAACAGGGATTCGGGTCCGCGAAAGAACACCGCGGGTCCGGGCAACAAGCTCTCGGCACAAGACGCGCTCAGCCACACGGGCTGGTCGACGTCGGTGGCGGAGCGGTTGCGAGCGCAGACTGGTGGTGGCGGCGGCGGCGGCGGCGGCAGGGGCGGCAAGGGCGGCAGGGGCGGCAGGGGCGGCGGCAACGGAAGCCAGACCGGCAGCGACGAAGCGGAAGCGGCGGCGGCCATGCACGCGTTGGCCAACTCTTCCTCTTCCACGAAAGACGGTGGTGGCGGCAAGAAAGGCGTTAGTGACAGGAAGACGGCCCACCTCGGGAGCCTCGGCGTTTTCGTGACCGACGAAAGGATGCTATCACCGGCCGAAGCGGCCAAGATTAGGAAGGGCAACCTCGGTAGGGCTTTGCTCAGCGGCGGCGGCGACGGCGAAACGGCCTCAAAGCGGGGTACCAACGGGGGGGTGCACGCCACGGCGAGGCCGGCGGGAGGCAAGAAGCAGAGGGGGGGCAGCGGCGGTGGTCCTAAGTCGTCTAGGGGGGGACCGGGGGCAGACGAAGACGGTCACGAGGAGGAAGAGGAGTCGGACGCGGAACCGGCCAAGAGGAAGACCCCCGGGAAACCAGGCCGCAAGCCGAAGAAGGGAAAGGTATGCATGCAGTAGCAGCAGACACGGCGGTGGGCGTATGTATCTGCTTCGTTTTGGTGGCCCCGTGTCGAATCATGCGGGGTTGATCTGTTCTCGAGTGCGGGAACAAGCACGTGTCGGTGGTTCTTTACCGGGGAACGGAACGGCCCAGGGCCGTTGTTGGCCGGTCCAGGAAGCCATAGTGTGGTGCATGAGTGTCCCTGTCCGATTGCTGTACATACCAGGTTGTAGGCAAGCTTCAGTGGCCCCGTTCGCCCGAAAGGTCGACGGATCGTTCGACGTCGCGCGGCGCAAGAAAGACATTGGGTGCTGTTGCCTTCCCTCAAGGGGGCACATGAAACACAAGCTCGCCCCCACGATATTTTTTTTCTGGTTTTTAATGCCCCGTGGACATTTTTTTATTCATCACTGCTGTATTTCAGCGCTCATTTTTTGTTTTTCTGCCGGGTAGGAGCTGGCCGCATTCCGTGGTCACACAGAAGAGTTTCCCCGCCTCCCCCTACCCGCCCCTCCAGCGGTGCTTTGCCTTCAATTTTTTACGCGAGGAAGAGTGCAGCACTCTCTCGTCCCTCTTCGTTTTTTACAGTTTCTCATCCCTTGCAGCACTCACGCTCCCCCTTGCCCGAGCAGGCGGAAAAGGGAGAGGGTCTCGCTTCGGTGGAGGCGGCCGTGCCGGAGGCGGGGGGAGACCTCAGCAGCCCCCCCGCAGTCAGCCCTTTCCCCAACTGGGCCGAGGACTCGTATGAGATGGTCGGGAGCCGCGTGCGGGTGTACTGGGACGGGGATAACGAGTGGTACAGCGGGCGCATCGTTCGGTTCAAGTCGACTCAGCGCGAGCCGTACCTCGTCAGGTGTGTCTTGAGGACGCGCAGGGTCCCGGGAGGTTGTTGGAAGGCCTGAGCTTTTGGTTGCCAGCGGCACCAGCAGCACCAGCAGCGACTGGCTGATGTTAAGTGTAGTAGTCCTGCCGCAGCAGTTGAGGTGTGTCTTTTCTAGCGAGGTGTGTCCCTCTCAACGAGAGGCAACGGAGGGAGTGAATTACGTCGATCGCCAGGTGTTGCTTGGGTGTTTGTTGTGAGGGCTCAAGGATTTCCTCATTGCTTGCTCGCTGCTCACGGCAGGAGTATTGAGCCGCGTCCCAGGGTTTCTCCGACGCACGGCGCCTTTGATTCTATGGTGCAGCACGGGAGAAAGCAACAATTTTTTTAACCTTGTTTTCAAGGCGCTCCGCGCATCGAACCAGGCAGAAGAGCAGGACTGTTTGTTGACTGCTGTCGTACGGGTCGAGGTATCCGATGCTCATCACCATCACGTCGAGGCGAGATAGTGTCCTATCTATTCCCTTGCCCCCCTTCCAGCCGCGTTTTTTGCACCTGCTCCCCCTTTTTCATGTAGTCGCGAAATGTCCGTTGTACAAGTAGGAGAGGGAAGTGTACAACATGACTGGGCTGGGAAATGGAAAAGAAAAGTACAGGGAGATGTTTGAGGCATGGGATAGCCAGGAGAAAGCTGTGCTGTGGCATAGGAAATGGGCTGAAAAGGCGGGAAATGATATCGATAGGATCGATAGACGATGGAAGACATTACTGAGCCACCTTTGGCAAAGTAGGAAGGAACGATTAGCCATCGGTGATCGGTCCTGTGGGGACAATGCTCCGTCCTCTCGAGGACGCGTGGTCACTGGTCTAACTGCTAAGGCATGCAAAACATGAGAGTACCCCCCCCCCCC